GGCAACAAAATAAGAATGCAGAGAGTTTTGGTATATTTGTTCCTCTGAAGGTGGTTAGGCCTCAAGGGGTCTGGAAAAGGAGATTACTCTGCATTTCAAAGGTATGTTACTGCAGATGCATGAGAACAATGGACAGGGCTCACTTAAGGTAAAGATGAACCTTTTACCAAGAAAGCTATAGGCCTTGGGTGTCCAGTTAGGAACTTATGATCAGATCATCCTGTGTGGTTACTTCTGTGGACACTGAGCTTGCCGTAACATAATGCTCTATCCCTACACCTGTAGTCCTCTGGAGGCCTGTCAAGTAGCCTCCTGAGCTCGTCAGGTTTGCTACATTGCCCCTTTTTCATTCATGTACCCATCATCTAGATTCAATATTTCAATCATTATCAAGATTTTGCTTTATCTTCCTCCCCCTTCTCTTCTTCCTATCATTCTGCTCCTTCTCCTTTTTTGTTACTTAGGTATTCTAAAGCATATCCCAGATTGCGTGTCACTTTAATTCATCTAAAAAATGTAATCATTTTCTTACATAACCATATCCCATTACGCCTAAAAAATTAATAATAAATCATCGACATCATCTAATGCCGAAACCATATTGAAATTTCCTAAATTATCTAAAACAAAATGTTTTTACATTGCTTTGTTTGAATCAGAATTCAAACAAGAGCCATATTATTGAGTTGTCATGTTTTTTTAATATAAAGCAGTCCTTCCCACCTTTTTTTTAATGCCACTGACTCAAAGAAATAGATCAATGTTCTGTAGAAGTCTCATGTTCTGGATTTTTCTGCTTCCTTAATTTATTCTTCAATTTTATTTTTTATTATTGGGTTGTAAATATGGTTAATTTTTTTAAAAACTGCCGTTTAGAAATCATTTCAGTCTTTTAAAGAGTTGAAAAATAATATTAAGAAATCCTGCATACCTTTGACCCAAGTTTCCTAGATGTCAACATTTTATCACACTTGCTTTACTGATTCTATTTTTGTTCTGAAACATTTGTGGTTAAGTTGCAGATAAGGTTCCCTTTACCTCTAAATACTTCAGCATATTTCCAAAAACAAGGACATTTTCTTACAAAACAACAGTTCGATGGTCAAAATCAGGAAATGATATGTTGCCAGTAACCTACAAATCTTATTCAAATTTCAGAAATTTTTCTCCTAAGGTCCTTTATCAAGTTTAGCCTTTTAAATCTATTGTAACATATTTCTTACCTTTCAGACATTTGTACCTTAAAAACAATGTTCTATTGCAGTAGTTCCCAAACTTGCTTGCACATTAGAATCGCCTGGAGACCTTTTAAAAACTTCTAGATAAAATTCTTGAGAAAGAATAACAGAGCTAAAGGTATTGTGCTTCTTGATGTCAAGCTATATTACAAAGCTATAGTAATTAAAACAGGAGGGTATTGGCATAAAAAGACACATAGATCAATGGAACAGAATAGGGAGCCCAGAAATAAACCCACACATACACGGTCAATTTATAACAAAGAAGCTGAGAATATACAACGGAGAAAAGACAGTCTCCTCAATCAGTGGTGTTGGGAAAACTGGACAACCACATGTGAAAGAATGAAACTAGACCACTAAGTTACACTACACACAAAAATTAACTTAAAATGGATTAAAGATTTGAATGCAAGACCTGAAACCATAAAACTCTTGGAAGAAAACGTAGGTGGTGAGTTCCTTGACATAGGTCTTGGAGATGATTTTTTGAATCTGACACCAAAAGCAAAAGCAACAAAAGCAAAAATAAACAAATAAGACTACATCAAACTAAAAAGCTTCTTCCTGCACAGGCAGGAAACCATCAACAAAATGAAAAGGCAACCTACTAAATGGGAAAAAATAACTGCAAATCATTTATCTGATAGAAAGCTAATATCCAAAGTATAGAAAGGATACATATGACTCAATAGTAAAAAGAAAAAAAACAAGAAATCCATTAAAAAATGGGCAGAAAGTATGAAAAGACTTTTTTCCAAAGAAGACATACAGATGGACGACAGGTACATGAAAAGATGCCCAACATCACTAGTCATCAGGAAAACGCAACCCAAAACCACAATGAGACATCACCTCACGCCTGTTAGAATGGCTATTATAAAAAAGACAAGAAATAACAAGTAAAAGTGAGGATGTGGAAAAAAAGGAACCCTTGTGCACTGTTGCTGGGAATGTGAATTTATGCAGCTACTATGGAAAACATTATGGAAGTGCTTCAAAAAATTAATAAAAGAACTACCATATGACCCAGCAATTCCACTTCTGGGTATTTATCCATAGAAAAGGAAAACACTAATTTGGAAAGATATATGCACTCCCATGTTCATTGCAGCATTACTGAAAATAGCCAAGACATGGAAATAGCTTAAGTGTTCATCAACGGATAAATAATTGTGAGAAATATATGTACGGATATTATTCAGTCACAAAAACGAATGAAATCTTGCCATTTGCAACAACATGGATGGAGCTTGAGGGCATTATGCTTAGTGAAATAAGTCAGACAGACAAATACTATATTATCTCACTTATATGTGGAATCTGAAAAATACAAACAAAACCCAAGGTCATAGTGACAGAAAACAGATTGGTGGTTGCAAGAGGCAGGGGAGAAGAGGGTGAGACAAATAGGTAAACTTTTTTTTTTTAGTTTAAATAAACTGAATAAAAAATGCTCCCGAGTCCAGGCCTGTGGGACACAGCATCACTGTTTTTGAAGTACCCCAGTGATTCCAGTGTGCAGACAAATTTGGCAACCATCATGCTGTTGTTAAAGGAATTCCACGGAATGTGTTGCCTCTGAGATATTACTCACAAATTACTGAAATATTACTTGAAACAAGACTGGCAGTGGGGGAAAGTGTGGGGCAGATAATCATCTGCCTCGGAAAATAATTTTCCTGGATCTCTCCCAATCCATGCAAACCACGCCCTCCTTGGGGGCTGTTTCCCAAAGGTTCCTCCTAGAAGCAGCAAAGTTTAGAAGAGGCTGGGTCTGATTTTTCACCATCCTTTCACCCTTCTCTCCTTTCTTCAAAGCCTGGCACATGGTAGAAATTCAATAAACGTCAAATGGATGAATGGATGGATTGTGCTTTCACCGACCTGTTTTCTGAGGCCTGGAGAACAGGGAGAAGCTACTGAAAATTATTCAAACAGTAGGCTGTTGGGTCAGTACACGAGACTCTAGCTTTAGAGTAATCAGATGTAAGATCTTTTACTTCCATTGTTTTCAGAGAAGTGAAAAGCAGGGCAGCTTTAAATGGTATACACATACACACAGAGTCCTACCTGTGTTCAAATATCGAAAGCCTCCTCACCCTTCCCCAGGTCCACCTCTCCACAATCCAGCACAATGCTTGCGCTGTTCTATGTCTGGACTCTCACCAGTGGGTAAGAGTTCAGCTTTGCATCAAAAGTAGGAAACACAAACGTCTACACCTGTGAGTGCTGAGGGTCTTGGCAAACTGAGTGCACTGTTTCTCTTTCCCAAGAGGCACTGCTGCTCATCTCAAGCAGCACCCATTTTGCCAGACCCACTCATTAGTCAAAAGAAGCTGGAAATTCTGGTATTATGTAAAATCTTCCACTTTAGAAATATCGCATCAAACTTAAAAAGAAAAAGAGCCCTGTTTGAGCCAAACAAAGCACAGCTATAGACTATCTGGGCACCACTGTGGCAGGCAGAATTCTTAAAAAGATTAGCCATAGATATTGGAGAACCAATACACCCGGAAGACAAAAACGTATTTTGGGTGTTACCATATACAATTGCAATAAATTCGACAACATTCTGGCTTCCAATTCTAATTTAATCTTACAGACCTTTTCCTTAACTGCCTTGAATTCATACTTGGTCTCTTTTCTCTAACATCATTAGCATAATTACTCGTTTTCTTTGTCCTATTACATAAAATAGCTTCAAAATAATCTATACATATTAACGATAATAAATCTACTAAATGAAGTTTAAGATTTCTTTGCAGTTTTATTCTTGGATTATGTTCCACGGAGATGTGCAGTCCAAACTGAAAAAAGTTTGTGGTAAAGGCACCAATGTCCACAGCGAAAAGCCCCCTCCCTACCCCCAATTGTTTTGGTGTTGGTAATGATAATCCACAGCACAAGGAAGTTTGCTTGTTTTTCCAGAAACTTCGAAGTTTATCTCTAGGGGAGGAAAGAGCCCTGTGAGAACTTGGGCTGAGTTATCTGAGGTTACTTACCGCCCTTGCTAAACTCTGAAGAGCCACCCCCCCCCCGCCCCTCTTTAAGGAGATTTGTAGCCAGTTTCCCCATCTTCATTCGCTTTTTGAAAAAAGACGGAAATATGGGTTTTCTGAAGCACAGGTCTGGACAGGACTTAGGCTATCGCCTCCGTAAACCCGAAGCTGGGAGTAGATGGAATGGCCTACTAGGAAGAGTGTAGCACGCGTGGGTGCAGAATCCCGGGGTACACAGAACTTTAGGGTATGGCGTAGCCAGAAATCTTGGAGGCAGGGGAACCGGCGCCAGCACCACGCTGCTCAGAGTCTGGTAAGAGAGAAGAGTTTTTACATCACTTAGAGAAGCGGCTACGGTTCTCCCGCAGGTGGCGCCTGTAACGCACAGGGAAGTGAGCTCCCAAGCCCAGCAGGGATCCCAAGCCCGAAACTGGCATGGGCTTCATTCAGGGCTGACGCTGGCCTCGTTCGTGAACGCCCAGCACGGAGCAAAATAGCCTGACTAGCAGGAGGTCACTTGTGCCAGAAAGTTGGATCTGGACGTGGGAGGAGAACGCGTCCCAGCTGTGGACTGAACGTGTGGCAGTGCCCAGCTCAGAACTGGGCTGGCATTTCCAGCGGGGAGCCGCGCCTCCACGCCCTTTTGGTTTAGTCCTTTCGCGCCGACTCCTACGCGGCAGGTAGCTCCACTTCAGCAACCAGCGGCCAAGGTCACGTCCGCCGGAAGCCCTGGGTTCCCGCCCTCGCCGGGCGGGGCGCCCGCCTACGCCCTCCGCGGCCCCGCCCCCCGCGGCCGCCCAGCTCCCCGCAGTTTCTGAGGTTCCTGCGTGAGAAAGTACGAAAAATGGAGGTTGGCTGTGGCCAGGAGGGTGGCCTGGGGCGCGTTGTGTGCGTGCTTACAGGGGCCTCCCGCGGCTTCGGCCGGGCGCTGGCCCTGCTCCTGGCCCCGCTGCTGTCGCCCGGCTCCATGCTGGTCCTAAACGCCCGCAACGATGAGTCGCTGCAGCAGCTGGAGGCCGAGCTGGGCGCCGGGCAGCCCGGCCTACGTGTGGTGCGGGTGCCCGCCGACCTGGGCTCCGAGGCCGGCTTGCAGCGGCTTCTCGGCGCCCTGCGCGAGCTCCCCAGGCCCGATGGGCTGCAGCGGGTGCTGCTGATCAACAATGCGGGTAAGACGCCCGCCTGAGGGGGAGGGACGGGGCGGACTCCCCTTGTGAGCGCTTGGAATGCCCAGTTAGCATCCTTTCCTTTCTCCCTCTCATTGCCCCCACCGCTTGGAATTTTCAAGGTGACAACTAAGGAGTCAGAAATGACGCCCGAAACACCTAGTTGTTTCAGCAAGGTGTGGAGAAAGACCCAGTGCTGTCGAATCGGCTCATTTCATCCTTCCCCGCGCCGTCCCCTCCTCCCCAACCCCCACTTTCCCTTTTAAAGGCCTGGTTTTCCGAAACTCCCGGGAAGTTTCCAGTTCGCCTTACTCAGCGCCCTCTTGCGGAGGCGTGAGTCAGGGCATGGGATCTCCCAGCACAAGTAAATTTCTCCAGTTCTCCAAATGGCCCCGAGTTATCCCACAGTCCCAAAGCGGGGCCTTCTCAGTCTGCAACGTGAGGTGCGTGGGTGCCCATGGTCTCTGTGTGTCTGTGCGCGCGCAGAACTGGGAAAAGAGGCATCTTCAGAAGCCCCTGTGAGACTCCTCCTCAAGTCTGGATGGGAAGGGGGTTTCTGGAGGAATTTGGAGAGAGCTGGGGGAAAAGAAAGCCCTACTTTTACTAGGTGATTCTTAATGTCTGGTATTTCAGGCACTCTTGTGTCCAAAGGCTTCGTGGACCTGGCTGACCCAGATGAAATGAACAGCTACTGGGCTCTGAACTTGACCTCTATGCTCTGCCTGACTTCCAGTATCCTGAAGGCCTTCCCGGACAGTCCTGGCCTCAGCAGGACGGTGGTTAACATCTCATCCCTCTGTGCTCTGCAGCCCTTCAAGGGCTGGACACTGTATTGCGCAGGGAAGGCTGCCCGTAACATGATGTTCCAAGTCCTGGCCACAGAGGAACCGAGTGTGAGGGTACTGAGCTATGCTCCAGGTAGGTGGAGCATTACTGCCATCCTCGTCCCCCAGAACAAGCTGGTTCCCCTCTGGGGGCTGGGCAAGGTGTCTAGTCTGTCCCTTCTAAAAAAGGGCCCACAGAGTATATTGTCCCTGAATCATGATCTGTCACTCCTTAAGGGAAATACAGGCTCCAAGGAAGTTAGAGCTGGCAGGGTCAGGGAGCCATAGAGAGAGAGTGGGGAGCTGCCTGGACTGGAGGGTGGGGCCAGAGTTTGAGAGGCAATTAGGGTTTAAATTCCAACCCTGTACTCCATTTCCTTATGTAAAATAAAGAAGAGCCCAACTGTTACTCGGGGCAGTTTGGAGGACTGAACGAGGTAATATATGTGAAAATAATCCCTAACTGTGAAGTACTGTCTAATTGTTAGATAGGAGTTAACACACTGTATTATCTTCATATGTATAGTTCTCTCTCTTGATAGGAAAGCCTCGAAGGCAGGGACTGTGTTTCATGAAGTGTCCCACTGAGTCAATCTGAGAAAATATTAGTCGAATGAAGAACAGACAGACGTCGTTGAATCCTGAATTGTGCTGGAAGGTTGTGGAGGGAGGTGCTGGGGTAAATAAGATAGGGCTCCTGTGCTCACAGAAGTTAAAGTGTAGGGGGTCTTGTGACACTTTGTCTAGTTTCTCATCACCTGAGATGCCACTATGCCTTTCTTAAGTGAGGCGTCTATCCTAGGCTCGAGGTTGCTGGAATTAGAAGGTTGTAACATAGCTGTTGTGTAATGTCTGAGCAACTTAGATAGAGATCCAGTAGTCTATTCCCCTTGGCACCCTGGGGTCAAAGAGATAGAATGACCTGACCAAAACCCAGCTGTTGCAGAGCCAGGATCAAAATTTGCCTCCGGCTCATGATCAATGCCATTTCTACTTCCTCATGCTCTCCAGTACCAAGTCTCCGCTCCCTGACACATACACAGTTATTCTTCCAGCCAGCATTCAACTCAGCACCCACTCTGAGCTCAACCTAGGATTCAATCAACAGTGAGCAATAAAAACCATAGCCTAGAGTGGAGCAGACTCCAAAATGCCTTGTGACTGGGTTAGATCTTAGGAGACTGACTGCCTGAGAATTATAAGGAAGTTGACCTTTTTTTGTGGCCACCAAGGCCTGGATGAAGGCTGAGGCCAGTCAGGTTTTCATTTCAGTCTCTGGGAGAATGTTCTAACAGGTGTCCAAAGGGAGAATGTGCTGTTTGGAAAGGTAGCAGTACCCGCTTACCAGGGTGCACAGCTACTTGAAAAACTCAAAGATCAGGAGGCCAGTTCTCTCTCCAACCCTGAGATTCCTTATTTTCTGCCCCTGAGGCCCATTAACTCCAAATTCTGGGGTGCTGTGATTCCTATATTAAACATAGAGTGCCTGTAAGAGTTCTCTCACATCTCCTCAAGGAGGCGCTAGTTGGGCAGAAGATGATATTCTTGGTTGTAAATGCGGTTGTGTAGAGGGACCGTGTTCAGTGGGCGTTGGAATTCGAGTGAGTCTGGAGCTCAATAGTGACAGAGTGGAGCCTTTGGTGACCCTGACCTCACATGTCAGCCAAGATGAGGTGTTGCCTCTAGCCAGACATGACTCCACCCCGCTTCACACACAGCAGGGCCCCTGCCTCAGCTGTGCCCCCTCATCGTCTGCTCTTCATCCTCTAGGGCCCCTGGACACAGACATGCAGCAGTTGGCCCGGGAGACCTCCGTGGACCCAGACATGCGAAAAAGTCTGCAGGAAATGAAGACAAAGGGGAAACTGGTGGATTGTAAGATATCAGCCCAGAAACTGCTAAGCTTGCTACAAAAGGACGTGTTCAAGTCTGGAGTCCATGTTGACTTCTATGATGAATAAGCCTCGGCTTCCTGAGGCTCTCTTCCTCCTCTTTCAGGCACACCCAGGAGCCCTACTCCCACATTCTGCCACAGTGGCACCGCCAACTGTGCTTTACATAGATAAAGCAGTGATGCCTACTATCCTTCCTCAGACCCTGTAAGCTGTGCCTGCTTCAGGTCACTGGGGTGCCCAGTTCTCAGGGGTCTGTTTGAGCACCCTGAGTTAGGAGGCTTGAGAGAGAGAAGTTATGATGTTGGTGTTTTCTCCAGAACTGGAATTTTAGGGATGGGAAAAGCAGGACAAGAAGCTGAAACGTTGAGAGGGGGTTGGGTCTCTTGCCCATGGCCAGTCCATGGAGAGAGGTGGGTAAGCCGTGTCAAATTGGAGGGCCCAGTGGATTCACAGATAGCCTGGCAGGGAGGGAAGACAGTGCAGGTTCTGGCCCACAGGGATACCCCTTACTCGGAGACTCAGGACCTTCTGTTGAATTTCATGACCTCGTTCTAATGCCTTCTCCCTCCAGAATCTACCCTTTATCCTCCAGATCGGGGAAAGGGACCCTTGAGAGTTTTTGTACATGTCAAAGGCAGATACAAATAAAATGCGAATTGTCCTTTATTAATGCCTGGAGTACAATACTGTCTCTGATACATAGTCCATGACCTACTCCCTTGTTTACTGGGCCCAGGGTTGTTCCCGAGGCCATTAACCCAAACTCAGAGTGCTGGCCTTGTTTCCCGGGGAGTTGTCTTGGGGCTGTGTGCCTTTTTCACCAAGTCCTGCCCACGTTCAAAGTTGGCCGAAATGGGCATCCCCAGGCACCTGTTCTTTCTTCATGCCTTTGCCTGTACTGACCAGTCTTTACTACCCTTTGCTCACCCTTGACTTGTTCAAAGAGCATCCAGCCTTTAGGGCCTGACTTGAGTCACTCTGGCCTCAGGGAGGGGTCCTTTCCCTGGCTCTCGGATTCCCATTTCTGCCCCTTGTCTACATGCTCTAAATGGGTCCCAGCTCCTCTGGAGGCCTGTTGGGGGCCCTCCTGATAATGTCCATCTGGCCCATGGTCCCAGTTTTCAGTGGGGTGGGCCTAGGACCAACATGCCTTAGGGGAAGGTGGGCAAGATTCCAAGAGAGGGAAACCCTGAGAAACCAGAGACGTAACCAAACCCACCCTGTGGGTGGGTAGATGTGGGTGGGCTGGGAGCTCTGCAGTGGCGGTCTACGGTCAGCCCCTTGCAAGCTTATATTTGGGTAGAGAGAGCATAGGCCCTGCCAGCCATCTTCAGGACTGCCCTGCAACTGATCATGGGAGAGAGAACTCTCTTTACTCCTTGTGCACAGCAGAGGGCGCACAGAGGCCGTGCCTCCTGGAGAACTCCCTCCAGCTCTTCTGGCTGGAGCCAGGCCCTGGGCTGGAGCTGGCAGTGCCCTGCTGGGTTCCCTACGAGTGAGTAAGCAACTCACGCTCGCGCTCACTAGAGTCACGATCGCTATACACAGGTTGCTGCTCTGCCACTTACCAAATGTAACCCAGGGCAACTTGCTTCCCTGTGCCTCAGTGTCTTTATCTGAAAAATGTGGATTAACATGTGGTGCCTCCCTCAAAGGGTCTGGTATTAAATGACCTAACGTAGCGCTCGCTAGCATTGTAGTATTTGCCCCCACAGGTGCTAATATTATTCGTCGCCTTTTAAGATCCAGATCCAGATTCTCCTGGAGTCGCCCTTGCAGCCTCATTTCCTCATGGCCCAGATGCCCTCCCGTTGCTGACTTGAGGGAAGAACTCCCACTGTGCTGCCCCTGTTCTAAGCCTTGGTGGGCGTTCAGTCTGGACGGCTTGTCCTAGACTCACTGGACCCTCAGGAAAATGCATGAGCCTTGGAGTCAAGAATCCTCGGTCTAACTTCCCTCTGTGATGGAGATGCTGTGGGGTTTCCTACAGGGCCCCCTCCCTCTCTGGGCTTTAGTTTCCTTAAAACAGATGCGCTCTAAGATTTCTTCCTGCAAACCTTTCTCCAAGTGGTTTCAAACATGGTCAGGCTGCATCTGAGGATGTCGAGTTTGCCTCTGCAGGTGGGGCTGGGCCAGCCTGGGTGGCTCCTTCTGTCTGGTGGGCGTTGGTGGATTTCCCCACCTGGCCCCTTGCTCCCTCCCCTGGGACTGTGAGGGCAGTCAGCGCCAGCCAGACCCGCTAGTGGATGCTCCCGCAAGGTGGCTGAGAAGAGCGTGAGCCATCCTTGCTCCCCAAACCCAATCCTGAAGTCTTCAGCCTGCGGTGCTGGGCAGCAGGGCCAAGCCTGGATGTTCTCTCAGACTTTTGAAGTACAGCCACCTTCCCAAGCCCTCTCCCCACAGGCCGGGTGTCCAGAACCTTGTGAGGAGTGCCACATGTCCCCACAAGGTGGCGAGACCCTCACGCCTGACACTTGTTCTCTCTGAGTCCGGGGATTTAAGAGCCTTGGGAATGACCCTAGACCTGTCTCTCTTTCTCCCTATCCTCTAGGATCCTGGGCTCTCTGAGGCCCCAGGGAGCTGGGGAGGCAGAAAAGGCCAGGATCACTCTCCCTGTCAGGCCCCGAGGCCTCCTCAGTGACCCACAGGTCTGGCCACAGGGATTTCCTAGCCCTCACTCCTTGGCCTGGACTCCCCAGGTCCGCCACTTCTGGGGCACCAAGACTTTCTTGCCAGCCTCAGGGCCAAGAGCAGCCACCCACCAGAGGGGCAACCATCTGTGTTCCTAAAGTGCATGGCCTCGCCTTGGCCACCACGCACAGGAGCACATGAAAGCACACACAATACATGCCTGCACATGCCAGAGCCCAGCTGCCAGGTCGAGCGGGGCCTCGGATTAGCCAAAAGACAAATAAGATTTTTCTTTGTTTTGGCATGAATGGGCTGGGCAAGTTTTTGGTTTTGTGTTTAATACCCCTGAGCTGGGGGCCAGCAGCTGGCCTGTGAGGAGCAGGGTAGTGAGGGGAATACTCCAGGCCCACCCCAGGGAGTCCAGCACCTCTGTTCATGAGCATGACCAGCTGGAACTAGGTCGAGGAGGAGCTGCCCCACCCCCACCCCAGCCCCTAATTCCTGTTTTTTGTCCCAGGAATACAACACAAGCTGGTGCCTGAGTCCACTATTTGAGAAGCCCAGAGGTGCCCAGCTGCTCCTCCCTCCCCACCCAGAGCCACTCGTTCGGGACTCGCTCCATCCTAGCATCTGCGCATGTCTCACCTGGGGCCGCAGAGTCTGGGAAACTGCCTTCTGGCCTCCTTCACGTGAACCACAGCCTCTCCCCACAGAACATGGCCTCCTATGAGAACACGTGTGTGTAGCAATTCCCAGCCATGCAGCCCATGGGTACATCCCCGTGTAACATGCCCAAGCGCGCTGAGCTGTGCTCTCTCACCACAGGGGTCCCGTGTGGTGACAGGGAGGTGAGTGAAGAGCACTTCCAGTTGCCAGAGCAGGGAACCCACAGGGTAATGCCTCTGCAGTCCCCACAGCATCTCTCAGTGATCTGGGAGAAGAGGAATGGAGCAGGCCACTAGCCAGCTTGCAGGGAAGTTAGCTGAGGAAGCACTTGGAGCCTGGGGCCGACTGGGGAAGCTTTAAAGGGTAGCTGAGGAGAGGATAGAGTGAGCCTTCCTTGGCCTCCACCCCAACCCTAAGGTCTTCTGCCTGCGGTGCTGGGAGGCAGGGCCAAGCCTGGATGTTCTCTCAGACTTACAAAGTAGAGCCACCTCCCCACTCCCACCCCAGAATTATTACTTCCCAGCAAGGCTCCCCTACCTTGCCTTTTGTCTCCCATTTCACCCATCCTCCCGCACTCCCCCTCAGCCCTACCTGCTTTTAGTGTGAAAAGAGAGAGCCCTGGAATTCTACTTTCAGGGAGGGGTTGTGGGAAAAGAGGAAGGGAGGGAGAAGGAAGTTCCTTTTTACCTTCAGGGGCTCTACCTCTCAGGCCTAACCTCTTCCCCAGCGGGCCCCAGAGACTCAGAGAGATTCCTTAGCTAACTAACCTGGAAGCTGTCTGGTGGTCTCTTAGTCCACAGGCCCATCCCCCTAACCCCCCACCCCCAGGGAATGGGAACAGAGGGGCCTAGCTTTCACTCCTCAGACCTGGTAGCTTCTTGTGGGCTGCAGGAGTCTGTCTGGTCTGCTGCTACAGAGGTCTTTCCTGCCTGGGCTTTGTACTCTAAGCCCCGGCTTGACCCAAGTGATCAAAGACCTCAGGCTTAAGAGGCTGTGTATATCCCGCAGACTTTACCCACTGAGGCATTGTTGCGTGGTTCAAGAATGAATGAATGAATGAGAAAATGTGAGAGTGAGCAAGCAAGTGAGCAAATGAATGCTGTCGCGACCCACTTCCCTGTGTATAGTGAAGCCTTTGAAGGGCTTGGGTGTGATGACTGGTGCCTGGGAGTTGGGCCTCTGCACACCAGCCCCAGCTGTATGGGTCCCCACCCAGATCGGGCATTCCTATGTGGGGATTCAAGGCCCCCTTGGCATCCCTGAAGGAAAGCCCACATGTGGGTATTGTGAAAGTGGGTATGGCTGACCTTCGTAAGAATCATCTCAGGAGTTTTCCAAAAAACTCTCTGTCTCTTTGCTCCTCTTTCACCCAGATGACGATTCAGTGGATTTAGGTGTGTCTCCACTTTTTATTGGAGCATTAAAATGTGAGCTGTGAAAATAAGTAATTAATTTCAAAAGTGAGCTGTAAACCTTTCAAATCAAAGTGGTATTGGTAGTAATCAAAGGAGGCAGCCCCTCAGAGAAGGGAAAGTTCAGAGGACAGAGTCAGTATTAGGGGTTGGGGTTTGT